AAAATTCTAACCGCGCTTAACGAGGCATCCTCAGGGAGTCCAACGGAAGCCGGGTCCAATTTGCATGCATCTTTACGATGATTCATGACGCTTTCTTTGGCTAAACGCCTGACAAATCTACAAACTATCGGCTTTGGCTTTCCATTGTTATTCCTGCTGGGAACACGATGGGCGGTGTCGATGTCATACATCGATAGATCAGCTCCCGTTTCTTTAAAAATGTTTAGGCAAAGCTTGCTTATCGAGGCTGCGGATTCATCTTGCAGCCTCTCAGGCACTCCCACAATTTTTACATTATACTGGAAACTATGTTCTTGAATTTCGTCAATAGCATTTCCAATAATATCTACCTTGGCTTTCAGCTCTTCGAGTTTGGTGCTTAGTCGCTGGAGTTCGTCTTTGGCCATGCCGCTAAAGAGATGGAAGTCGTCGTATTTCTTGCTCAAGAACTCTACACATTGGGCACCTTCTTCGCTGGGCAGAACTTCTTCGCTTCTGTCGCTATGTCGCTGTATCAACTCCTTCAATCTAGCTACCTCGTCCGACATTGACGATAGTTGCGCTTTAAGTATGTTATTCTCCTTCTTCAAAGCCGCAACTGACCCAGGCATTGCACAAAGGTTAAACGAAAGGACACACAATAAAAACAGAATACAAAATTAAGAAAAAGCAAAGAATATAAGAAACTTAGCGGAGCTCAAAAATCACAACCCTCTTGACCAACATCCGCTGACCAACTTATTTTGTCTCCTAGAGTTGCAAAGAAGAAGTACCGTGAGGAGTATGTACAGCTGCTTCAAGAAAGCTTGTTGGAAAAAAGTGTATAGGCTTACATGACAACTCCGAATCGTATTGCGGGTAGTTGTCAGGTGACGGTACCCTGACTTTGCGATTTCTGGGAAATCTGAGAAAACGTCACTATAATAACATCGACCAGTATTTGACCGCACACTTATACAACAATACAACGAATTTCTATCAGTCTTTGAAAAAATTCGCAAATATAAGATTAAAACGTGTGTTAGAAACTAATCTGGATTTAATGCCGATAATGCAATTGAACTAAATAAGAAATACATGTTTTAACAAGGCCCATTTTGAAAACAGTTAAGTAACTGAGACATTTACTTTAGGATCCCAATCGCGTTAACCATTGACCGTAAAGCGGCCGAAACATTCAACCGTTGAGCTTTAGTATTGACGAACTCTAACCATTAGTCGTAAAAAACGTGAAACGGTAAAACGTTTTGTGGTGACAGTACAACGATGTAATGGTGTTGGCCGTCAGTTGGCTAAAAATTTTAACCGTTAACCATAAAAGCAGTTATCCCATTAATTAATTTAATTAATCCTCTTCGTGTCACTAAGAGACACATAAGGCCTCGACCAGAGTTCGCCATTGATGTCTGGCGGGTGCCCCCAAGTCCAGTTGTTGTCCTTCATTTCCCTTTCCACCGTCCTCCTCCAAGTTTCTTTCGGTCTTCCTCTCTTCCTACGTCCATCAGGGGTCCATCTGAGAGCAACTCGTGGTAGTTATCCCATTAAGACCCTTTTACTCGTTCTAAATCTTTTTAACTAGTATTATTATTGTAACTTATCTTAGAGGCCTCCGTGTCAGTTAGTTTTCCTCTAAAGTTACTAGTTTCAGCACAAATTTTATGTATCTGCCTCCCTCTTGGGGTATGATGCCTTTCTTAATTTCTTTTCACATTATCTAATTTTATACGGCACTTCTGTGAGCGAGGACAACCTGGAATTGAATCAGTTACATAGAGGCGTTTAGTGTTAACTTGTAAAACTCCTTAAAGAAGTTTACGACAGCTACACGAAATGCGTCGGAGGATTAAGAAGTTGTACAGCTACTGCCCGCATAGTGTTGCCCACTAGTTTAGTATTTTTATTTTTCAAAAATTGCTCTCGCACCTCGAGCTCCTTCTTTGATAATTTTACCTGTCTTAATATCTTTTCAATTATCTGATTTTAGGATTTTCTGTTGACTCCAGAGACGCAACGGGCAGAACGCCCCTAATAAATGTAGTTTTAAATGGAAACGTTCAAGCGGTGAAAGGTCTGATTAAGAGAGGTGCAGATCCGTCCTGGATGGACAACCACAGATGGAGTCTGTTACATTTTGCTGCATATTGTGGTGACCCTCATATGATTGATCTTATCCTGAGTCACGTGCCAGGCATTGAGTCAAAAGCCGTTAACGGTGCTACTCCTCTACTCATTGCTGTGTGCCATGGCAAGTTGCGAGCTGTAAAGTATCTCCTTGAGAGGGGAGCCAATCCTTTGACTAAGGATAATAAAGGCCAGGATTCTTTATCCTTCGGCTCATCACGTGGCGCGGATGTTCTTGACTTGCTGCTGAGTCACGTAGCTAACGGTGAGTCAACAACACTACTCACTCGGCTCGGGTGGGGCAAAAATAATCTTATTTGTCTCCTGGAGTTGCTAGAAAGAAGTACATTCAGGAGTATATACAGCTGTTTCAAGAATGCTTGTCGAAAAAAAATGTGTATAGGCTTACTTGACAACTCGGAATCGTATTGTGGGTAGTTGTCAGGTGACGGTTCCCTGACCTCACGATTTCAGGGAAATCTACCAAAACGTCATCGTAGTGACGAGGCGGGCTGATCGAATTGATTTGTTTTTCATATTTGAATCTTTTGATTACCAAGAACCAATACTACCTTTCGAGATTGTCGCGAGCACTTTTGTCCTTTTTCCCCATAAACTCTCTCAAAACAGCTGTTTATGTTTATAGTAGAAGTGTATTAGTGATGTGAGAGCTGATCCCTTTGAATAGTTGAGTAAAGTACTGAAATAATCACTTGAATACTGAAAAATGGTGACTCAAATCTCATTAAAAAAATATTTGAAGCTATAAACAAGTTACTTGAACTAGTGCAACTCTCATATCCTGCTTCTAGTGCTTGCTGCAACTAGAAAAAAATCGAGGCGAGGCTTTGCTTTGGCCGCACTGTTAACGAGTAGATGGAATTATTTAAACCAGTATTGAATGCCAAGAGAATCACGGATTAACGGTGAGATTGACTGTTGACGGTGATTTTAATGTATTGACGAAGAAGCACAACAAAAACTTCACACAGTTAATATCCACCAGCATTTAACGGAAAAATAAACAACAATGCAACGAACCTCTGTCAGTCTTGGAAAAAATTTTAGGACATAAGATCAAAATGTGTAATAGAAACTATTCTGGATTTGTTAATAGTGCGATTCAACTAAGTAACAAATACATGTTTAAACAAGGCCCACTTGTATAACAGCTAACTAACTGAAACGTTTACTCTAGGATCTCAATTGAATTAACTATTAATCGTAAAATGGCCGAAACGTTCAATCATCAGGTTTAGAATTGACGACTTCTAACCGTCAGTCGTAAAAAAAGTAGTTAAAGGAAAAAAAAATTTTTTTGGTAACAGCGGTGGAATGGTACGGTGTTGGTCGTCAGTTGGCTAAAATTTTAATCGTTAGTCGTAAAAGCAGTAATTCAATTAAGACCCTCTTACTCGCTCTAGATCCTTTTAATCAATATTGTTATCGTTATTAATATTAGAAGCTTTTGTGTTACTTAATTTTTCTCTAAAGCTACTAGTTCCATAACAAATCTCATGTGTCTGCCTCCCTCTTGGGGTTTGATGCCTTTCTTAAGTTCTTTTCATATGATCTGGTTTAATACGGTACTTCTGTGAGCGAAGATAACAAGGAATTGAATCAGTTACATACAGGCGTTTAGCGTTAACTTGTAAAAGTACTTGAAGAAGTCTACGACAATTAGACGAAACGGATTCGAAGGATAAAAAAGTTTAACAACTACTGCTTGCTTAGTGCTAGTCACTAGTTTAAATTTTTTTTATAGAATTGCTGTCCCATCCCAATCTTTTCCTTTGATAATGTTACCTGTCTCAATTTCTTTTCAATTTACCTGATTTTAGGATTTTCTGTTGACTCCAAAGAGGCAATGGGCAGAACGCCCCTAATGGTTGCTGCTGGGAATGGCAACGTTCAAGCGGTGAACGGTCTGATTAAAAGAGGAGCAGATCCATCCCTAATGAACAACCACGGATGGAGTACGTTACATTTTGCTGCACACTGTGGTGACCCTCATATGATTGATCTTATCCTTACTCACGTGCCGGACATTGAGTCAAAAGTCGCTAACGGTGCTACTCCTCTAATCATGGGTGTGTGTCATGGCAATGTGCAAGGTGTAAAGTATCTTCTTGAGAGGGGAGCCAATCCTTTCACTAAAGATAGACATGGCCGGGATTCTTTATAGCATGCCTCATCACGCGGCTCAGATGTTCCTGACTTACTGCTGAGTTCCCTGACCTCATGATTTCTGGGAAATTGAAGAAAACGTCGCTGTAATGACGGGGCGATTTGAAGGAATTTATTTATTTTTCACATTTAAATCCACTTATTACCAAATACAAATATTACCTTTCGAGATCGTCTCGATTTAAAACAGCTGTTTACATCCGTAGTGGAAGTGCATTAGTGATGTGAGGGCCGATCAATTTCAATACTTGAATAATGCACAGGAATAATCACTTGAATATTGAAAATTGGTGAGCCAGATCCCATAAAAGTATTTGAAAGCTATAATCAAGTGAATTTATCCGGTAGAACTGTCATATCCTACCTGTAGCGCTTTCTGCGACTAAAAACAAATCCAGTCAAGGCTTTGGTTTAGTCGTGCTGTTAACGAACAGTTGGGACTATTTTACAGAGTTGGATACCGAGAGAATCACGTATTACCGATGAGATGGACTGTTAACGGTGATTTAAATGTATTGACGAAGAAGCACAACCAAAACTTGAAATAATTATCATCGATCAAGATTTGACCGCATACTAAAACAACAATACAACGAACTTCTATTAGTTTAGGGGAAAAATTTGCGAACATAAGATCAAAATGTGTAATACAAACTAATCTGGATTTGTCGATAATGCAATGCAACTAAATAATAAATATATGTTTTATCAACAAGGCCTACTTTGATAACAGTTAAATAACTAAAACGTTTACTCTAGGATCTCAATGGGGTTAACCATTAACCGTAAAACGGCCAAAACATTCAACCGTTGGGCTTTACAATTGACGATCTTTAACGGTTAGTCGTAAAATAAAATTAGACGGAAAAACAGTTTCTGCTGACATCAACTGAATGGTGTTGGCTTTCAGTTGGCTAAAATTTTAACCATTAGCCGTAAAAGCAGTTATCGCATTAATACCCTCTCACTTGTTCTAAATCTTTAAATAATTATTATTAATGTTTTTAATATTACAAGTTTTTATTACTTAATTTTCCTCCAAAGGTACTAGTTTCATTATAAATCTCATGTGTGTGCCTCCCGCTTTGGGTTTGATGCCTTTTTTTAATTTATTTTCACATTATCTCATTTTATACGTCACTTCTGCGATCGAGGACAACAAGGAATTGAATCAGCTACATAGAGGCGTTTAGTGTTAACTTGTAAAACCCCTTGAAGAAGTCTATTACAGTTAGAGGAAACGCGTCGAAGGATATAGAAGTTTTTTACAACTACTGCTCGCATAGTGCTTCTTACCAGTTAAATTTCTTCTTTTAATTGCTCTCGCACTTCGACCTCCTCATCTGCCAATGTTGCCTGTCTTAATTTTTGTTGTTGTTTTTATTTGCCTGATTGTAGAATTTTCTGTTGACTCCAGAGACCAAACAGGGAGAACACCCCTAATGAATGCTGCTTTGAATAGCAACGTCCAAGCGATTAATAGTCTGATTAAGAGAGGAGCAGATCCGTCCCTAATGAACAACGACGGATGGAAGTCGTTACATTTTGCCGCAAAAAATGGAGACCCTGATATCATTGATCTTATCCTCACTCACGTACCGGATATTGAGTCAAAAACCGCTGACGGTACTACTCCTCTAATCATTGCTGTTCGTTTTGGCAAGCTGCAAGGTGTAAAGTATCTCCTTGAGAGGGGAGCCAATCCTTTAACTAAGGATAATTACGGTCGGGATTTTTTATCTCATGCCTCATCACGTGGCTCAGAAGTTCTTGACCTACTGCTGAGTCACGTAGATAACGGTGAGTCAGGAAAACTATTCATTTGGCTTAGGTGGGGCAAAAATAATCTTATTTCGTCTCCCGGAGTCTCTAGGATGAAGTATGATGACGAGTATGTACTGCTGTTTCAAGAAAACTTGTCGAAAAAAAACCTATAAGTTCACGTGACAACTCCGAATCGAATTGTGGGTATTTTTTAGGTGACGGCTCCCTGACCTCACAATTTCTGGGAAATCTAGGGAAACGTCACTGTAATGACAAAGCGCGTTGAGCGCATTGATTTATTTTTGCACATTTAAATCCACTGATTATCAGATACCAATATCATCTTTCGAGACTGTCTGTCTGTTTGTTTGTTTAAAGGCTGATAGTTCTAAAGAAACTGTTTGGGGCTGCGTCGGTGGGGGTAACGAAATAATTTGAATATATCAACAAAGTTGAAATGGTAAATTGGCCACCATTACGATTATAAAAGCTGACGTTTCGAGCGTTAGCCCTTCGCCGGAGCTAATGGCTAACGCTCGAAACGTCAGC